GCTATGTCGTAATTAATTCTACCATTGGTGAAATTCCGTAATTGCCGTAATTTAGTAATTCTATTACCAACTAGCACTAGTAGTGCTAGCAGTACTGAGCTGCACTAGTATTTTTATTAAATATAATAATTTTGGTAGATAAAGTAAAAATTAATACTGTAGATACGATAGCAAAAGATTATAATGTTCAAAATGTATAAATAGCATCAATTATTGCATTTGGAAAAAGTCAGTTCCAATTAACTCAACAATAAATAGTGTATCGTGTCTTTATACACGAATGACTCGAGTACTTTATTGAATAAATCATAAATTTGTTTATATACGACTACTTGTATCTTCACATACATTTAGCCGTTTTCCTCTTTCGTAATTGCAAATCACCGCAATAAACCTTATACTTTACTTAAGCATAAACACGGGCACCGTATTGTCTCGAAATAACGCCCCTGGGGTGTAGGTTAAATATTTGACCCGAATTAAGCTTAATTTAGGCCGAATTACGATTAAGTCGGGCCAAATTTTTAACCTACACACCAGGAGTTATTTCGAGACAATACGGTATAGACCAATTTCCTCGACAACCATTTCCCCAACAGCCCACTTCCACGAAACTACTTGCCCGATAGCCCCATTTTCTCGACAATTTGACCCGATTTTATGGTAGGGTTGGCCCCGCTTTATAGTAAGTATAGAATTGTCGGCAAAATGAACTGTCGAGGAAAAGGGCTGTCGGGGAAATAGTTTCGGGGAAGTGGGCTGTCGGTGAAATGGGTTGTCGGTATGGGGGGTAAAAAATCGCTTTTTAATGATTTTTATGTTTGTTGATTTAATAAAATGGTTTAAAACATTGATGATGATGGCGGTGGTGTTGATAGATGAAGCTGAAATTTATTGTATATAATTGGTTAACTTTTTTTTTTTTGTTTTTTACCTCCCTCGGTTATCCTGAAGGTCCTTATAATGGGTTAATTTCAACTTCATGTCGCCATGAATTTTTATTTCTTAATCGAAATATACCATCAGTTTGTGTTACAAAAATCAAAATCAGAAGATTCGAATTTAATTATCATTCAATATCGAACGATATGTTTCAAAACATGTAAAAAATTATTTTAAAGCAATATAAAACTGATTTAAAGCATTCTATTTTAAATCATGTGCCATCACTAGTTGTCAGTGAAATGGTTGTCGGGAAATTGGTTGTCAGGAAATCTACCAAATCCCATATTATTTTACCGACAAGCCAATCGGCATCACTTTGGCGTGACAATTTACAAATTACATATGCTGAAACTAATAACATGCTAAATTTTCACGCCATGTGACGCTGGCTAAATGACTTGCCGGTAAAGACGCCGATAAATTACCACAATAAATTGCTATATGTTTGATTAGTACCAGGATACTTTTCAAGATTTTAAATTTTACAATTGATTAGTACCCGATATTACTTTAAGGGGATACTATATGCAGTGCTATACGGTAACTTTAAGCAAATCCGCCGAATCACTCGGCTAATTTTATAAGGTGTTCCAGGAATTATGATATTAGCAGTAGCCTATTGTGGTTAATAGGTTGATACGTAGGGATATTACATAACGATAACGATAAATTCTGTCAAAAATTGAACGACCGATAAACTTTTGATTTTGGATGTAATCAAATCCAAATCAAAAGTTTATCAAAACTTATCGAATCGGCAAATATGCGGTTGGTAGATTTTTGCCAACTCTGCTGTAAAGTGTCTGTCCGATCAGACTTGAGTTTTTAATCATGTGAAGTTGTACAAATCAAGGTAGATAACAATTAAGCGAAACTTAATTGTTGCTCTCAATTTGGTAAATCTCATATAAGTGCGTGAGAGTAAAAACCTGGAAACCGATTTAATGATTCACTATGATTGGTTTACAAGTTTTCACTCTCATGCACTTGAAAACCGACTAAACTGAGCTGTTTAACAGAATGGTGCTCATTTCGCCGACAATCACTTCATCGACAGCCTATTTCAAAGCTTATTTCACCGACAAAGTAATTCTGGTCATTTTCGTTAGGGTCAGTTAGAATTAATGTTAGCGCAACGTTTAAAAAAAGACTAGTCGGTGAAATGGGCTGTCGGTGAAATAAACTTGTCGCTGAATTGATTGTCAGTGGTTGACATTTTTGAAAACCGGTTCAAGTCACTAACCGAAACTATAGTAAACTTGAGCGGCAAGTATAAATCTATCTTGATTGGAAATAAAATAATACTCAATGATTATCTACGTACCACCTTATTTCTTAAATAAAATCCGGAACATATATTATAAAGTACTCAGTTTTTCACACAATACCCATGGATGACACTCAATTCAAATAGAATTTGTTGAACAAGACCCCTGATACTATATGCAGCGACTAATGTTAAAAAAGACTATAAACAATATATTTAAACAACTATATACCTCATTAAATTTGATATCAAATTTAATTGAATTTATCATTATAATCTACAGTATAAAATTAAATCGAATAAATATTCATTTGTTAAATTTAAATAAAGATGCTTTAATAATTGTCATACCATATAAACCACCCTTAAAAGGTGATTAACCAGTGATTCATAAGGAGAATCGAGGTATTATGACGAAGTAAGTATTGCGACGAATCGTGATATCTTGTAATCCAATGATTGGATCACGATTCGTCACAATATCTATTTTATCATAACATCTTATTATTTATTGTGCGGTCTGTGAAATTTGCAAATCAAAAAAAAATTCAAGCAATCGATTGTTAGGTGATTTCTAAAAGTATTCTGATGAATGTGAAAGTTTCACGCCGGAATAATTTTAAGAAATAAAGAATCATCTAACAATCAAGTTATTTCAAAATTTTGCAAACCGTAATAAATAATTTTAAGAATCAGCAATCAAATTCCAAATCTAATAATAATTTTTAGTGCCATTAGATCGTCTTAATGAAATTATTTGATTCTGATCACTGGATCATGAGATAATATTCATTCGTCCTCATGCCATAAGATACAAATGAAGGTATCTCGTGACCTAATAATCGAATTCGATATCAATCGATCGGTCTTTTTGAAACGAATTAAATGGTACCAAAATTATTTAATTCTGATTGATTTATAATAAATTATTAACTATAATACTTAACTTCGTCATAATGCTTGATCTCTTTTATATACCGTTAATCAGATTCTAAGAGACGTAGATTTAAAATTGAGTTGCGCGGATCGAAATTCGATTCTGAGATACGACCACCAGCTTGTTATTTATGCTTCAGATTGAAATATATAAGTGACTGCAATAAGAATTGAACGATTCGTCGTGAATTTCGCACCGAAAAAAAAACCAGTAATTAGAATATTCATTTATTTTGAGCAAGCTTTTTATGCAATGATATTTTGGGATATAAAAATTTGCAAACTCATTTTGGCCGAAGAAGGAAATCCGAAACCAACTCAAGAATCAAAATTTAGAAACAGTGCAAAATTTATGTCACTCTGATGAGTCTACATAACCTTTTAACAAAAACTTGCCATCAAAAAGGCATTAATTAATCATTAGATTTATTTATTCCTGAATACTTCATTATGTACAGTGCACTTACTTTTTGTTATTGAATAAATGCTTGAAATCTGATCAATGCTAAAGCATAATTCTATTATATTTATAAAAACAATGCAAAAAATTTAAATATTATCAATCTTAATTCGATGCACATTTCAAACCCAAGTGCGGAAGTAGCAAAAACCCTACAGTTACTGCACGTACATAGAGATGTGCCACGTACAGTATTATACGTACTGTACGCGAAAAGTTTTAACTTTCTACAGCCAATCAAATTCTAGATACGCACTGTACGTGAAAAAAATTCGGGTATCATATAAACGGCACATCACTATACATACCTCTTTCCTAAAATGTATACCCGGGTATAGTATATGTTTTAATCCGTGGTGATTTACGGTAAATTCCCTTTTTTTATAAAAATTACTTTTTAAAGACATTTTTCAATTTTGACCGCACCGGATCACGTGATAAGTGTATTTTCGTGGCAATTGTTTTGCGGTATGATTACTGAGGATTTATCAATTTTACAGAGTTTGAAAAAGAATGCGTTTTTTTAAGCAAATTTTCATCCTCTAATGTCACGAGGTTAAACACTCGATTCCTTAGTGCACGTGATCTGAAATAAACATATAGGGTTTTGCCTTGAAAATCAAGTTATGAGACATATAATTTACTATATCTCATAACTTGATTTTCAAGGCAAAGACCCCATATTTTATGTTCTTTGGGGTTCGCACGCCCTAAACTAACCTTGAATTATTGATGTTTTTAAAGTTCTGTATACTGATATAAAACCCTTAAAACAATCAGTAAAAAAAAAAAAATTTTTTAAATATATTAGTTATTCAAAAAAATTTTTCTGCTATTGAGATAACACCGATACACAAAGTAATAGGTCAGAGTAATAAAGTGTCAACAATTCCGAAAACAGCAATAAAAAAACGTCGGGAAGACAAAATAGATGCCTTAACTTGTCCTCATATTGACCCTAATAATAATTGATAAACCGTTTTAACCTCCCCAAATAAATTATGTAATAGAGATACTATCACATATTATTGGATAGAAAAGTTAGAAAAAAAGTTCTAGCATTTGTACGACAATCAATTCTTGTCGAATTTGTTTAAATGTAAAAAGAAAAACAAAAATCATACGATCCACTATTTACCATTCAAATTTGCCTGCAGATTTTCACGGCGCAATTTCATTTGAGAAAGTGATGTGGGATGATTATTTATTTTGTGAGCACGTGATGAAAATTGAGTAACCCAAATAATTATTGAATTGAGAATACAATTTTTTACAATTTTGCAAACCTTTTTTTAGCAGTTTTCCTTGAATTATCATCTCAAATTCTTCTTTTCGCGTTTCATCCTTTCGTGTTTTGTACAACTTTCGCGTTTAATAAAATCCTGAACTACAATGCCATCTACAAATCACGAATATAATAACGTTTATGATTATAGACATCCCCTTTATATTGGCGGCTGGCGAAGGAATGTCGCGTACATTGACGAAGATTTTATCAATGACAACCTAGACGAGCCTCATATGAAGAGGAAAATTACAATTTTAAGTCAATATCCAGAAATTAAAAGACTATATGGATATGACACCATTACCGTAGACATTGCAATTGTCGGAGTTTTAGTTCAGGTGACAGCAGCATATATATTTGGTCGCTGGCTAATTAGTGGGAATTTGACAATGCTCATTACTTCATTTATACTCGGAGGGACTATGACACAGATTTATAGTATAGTAATTCATGAGGCTGCGCATTGTCTCGCGGCGAGAACAAAATTCCGGAATCGTATCGTTGGTCTTATCGCAAATATAGCATTACCAATACCTATAACCATGTCTTTTCGTCGACACCATTTAAAACATCACGCTTTTCAAGGTGTGGAAGAGATAGACCCAGAACTACCTTCAGAATGGGAGAAAAAGCTTGGTTGTAGTACTATATATAAGTTATTATGGTTATTTTTCTACCCTATTATATATCCCATTCGTAATATATCAATGTTTAAAGAATTAGAGCTATGGGAATATATAAATTTTGTTTTTACCCTATTTACAGATATTATCATACATCATTATTGTGGTTATAGAGGATTATTATATCTATTTATGTCATTATGGTTTGGTTTTAGCATTCACCCAGTAGCAGCTCGATATATCCAGGAGCATTATACGTTTGATGATGGTCAAGAAACTTATTCCTATTATGGAATACTTAATAAAATATTTATGAATATTGGTTATCATACTGAACATCACGATTTTGCAAACGTAAGTTCGAAATTTATTAATTCATTTTATGTTTACATTAATGAATTTCTTTATTTTATATTTTAGGTACCGTGGACAAGGCTCCCTGAAATTAATAAAATTGCAACTGAATATTATGAAAATCTTGCTTATCACACGTCATGGTTTATGGTCCACTGGAATTTTGTTACGCAAAAGCAGTTCGGAATACAAAGTCGTGTAAAAAGAAGTTTTAAAGCACATAAAAGGGGTCGAAAAATGTTGAAAAATTTAAAAATGGCATTAATGTAGAGAAGGTTTTGTAATATGAATTATTTTATTGATATTTATATTCATATATGGCAAATTTTAATACACTGGCAGGAAAATTTACCAAGTACCAGTGATAAATTAAAATCTGCTTAGACTTTATGTTTCCATTGTATTATATAGCACCATATCTGAATAGAACAAACCTTTTTTTCTCATGATTATATATTATTTTTATATTTAGTTTATGCCCTGTCATGTAAGCATATAAGGAAGAACTCAGGCAGGTAATGATTATATTTGCCTGGTAGATTTCATTATTATACTGCTACCTGCAATATTTCCGGTAGTTCAATCAAGCTATATCGATAATAATTAGTTGATTTTTTTCTACGTATCAAAATAGAATGTTACACGAAGTTTTTTATTATGATTTTACAATCGAATTTCGATTCGAGATTGGCTTAAGCTCTATTCCATATAAACTGATTTCCTTAAGATTTTGAATTCTCAGTATTTATTGCAAAATCATTATGTTAAAGTTTCTGGCTTTGAAAAGAAAACAATTTCTTTAAAGTTTTAAATAAAAATGATCAAAATTTGATAGTATCAGGTGTAATGTGAATGTTAGAAATAATATAAAAATTGGGGATTGACCCTACTAAAATCCGTATATATCCTTATTATAAATTATAACACCAAAAAAGGTTTTCTCGTACGATTTTACTATATACCTTGCTAACAATTAACTCTAATACAAACGCTAGCCCTAGCTTTAAGATTTTTTGGTACGCCACAAATATGGTCACGTGTCCGTAAAATTTTGAAGCCGATACTTGAGAAGATCGATTTTTCGATTCTACATTAGAGAATTTTACAGATTTCAAAATAGAAATATTACTGATTGAATATATGATTGATAGACGATTTAGAATCTCCGAAATTTCCCATTATCGTTATCACGAAAATCACTTTTTTTGCAATTGCAAATTTTGCCGAATTCACTAAATTTGTAGAATTTGCGGAATTCTCAAAATTCCTGATAGGGCTACCGGTAGTGTTGGTCAGATTAACTGCAAAAATCCGTACAATTATGCGCGGAAAATTACAGATGGATTATGGACACTATTCTTTAACAATAGGTTTAAATTTATATTGTTGTGCCAACAAAAACTGTAATATTAAAAGCAACCAGAAAACTCGGGACAGGTTATGTCAATCTCCGAATTTCAAACCCAAACCCAATATTCAGATTACAAATACAGTCGTATTCCCATATAATCACAGTTGGGCACATAATAAAAATGTGCGTATAAAGAAGTTTTACTTATACGTAGAGAGGGCAACGTATTTCTTATAAATTAAATCATAAACATAGATGTGATTACATATAATGTGTTTATATGGGAGGTGACTATATGGAGGATGACTGTACTAATAACTACAGTACCAGACAGTAAAACACATCCAATGTTTATTAATAAAAACTTTAAAGTGTTATAACTTTTTAAAAACAAGCTAAATCAAAAAACTCTGACAAATTTATAGATTATTAGATAAACTACATTTCTGTCAGAGGATTTTTTTTATTTTTTGTTTCAAAAAGATTATAAAGGATTAAAGTTTATATGAGTTCAAAAAATTGGCGTTTATTATAAAAAAAAAGAAAGCATATATATATATTTAACCAATCAAAATCAATTATACAAAATTAGCAATCAAATTTGATTATATATGCTCCCAAAATTGGATGTCCCGTACTATACGTATAATATTTTAAGTTTTGAAAACACGATTTAATAGATTTAATAAAAACTTTATCTTTTATTTGCTTTAAAATGAAGAAATCTGACTTTTTTTATTTGTTCTAAAAGTTTTAACGGCTATTCTTTTTATGCTTTCTTTACAGAATCGTAAAGTATTTGCATTTAATTCTTTTCAGTTATTAACATGTGAATGCAGTTTTTTTTACCTTTCGTCAAATTTCTTTTCATTCATTATACAAAAAATTTGTGTTCCATTACATAATCGTAAAATATTTAGTATTTTGATGGAGATGGCGAAGCAATTTTCTGTTAATATAATGCGAATTATTGCAAGTTTTTAATACTCTCAAATACTTTTATTTCGGTTCTTTTATTATTCGAAAAGAATTCGAATATTTCAGAAAGTAATAATTTTTTCATTAATAAAGAATTTGAATTGATGTAATCGTGATATTCTAATTCAGAATAAAACTGATTTTAACACTTCAATGAAATCAATAAATTGAAAACTCCAAGACTTTGCATGGATCAATGAATTTTTTTTATTAAAGTTGGGAATTATTAATTAATTTTATATATTCGGTAAATTAGTACTTCAATTGTAACCTAAGCACATGATAATTTACCAAAGTTAATTGACTATAGTATTGATTTTTTTGTATATACCAGATACCATATCGTCACGAAATAACGTTACTTTGAGGCATAATTTGAAAAGAGCTAAGGCGAAGATTTTTAAATCAAATCATTGTCAGTATTCGGATAAATTAATTTTGATCTCTATAGAAATAACGTCCGGGGAGTGGAAAAGTGCATTATCGTTATGCATCATATGCAAATATAAAAAATTATAACTCAGGTATACGTATGTAATCTATTCAATAGAACTAACTAGTCAGTATATTTAAAACCGTGGTTTAATATAAATTCTGACCACTGGTCAGACTACTCAGCATCCCTAGCTTTACAAATTTTACATATCGATATAGAAAATTATATGAATTCGATGGTAAAGCTAGAGGTTGGAACCGGTTTTAATAATTCGGGTTTATCACATGAATTTTGTGATATTTTAAATTTATTTATTAAATTTAATTGGATAAATTTCTAAAATATCACAAAATACACGTGATAAACACGATTTATTAAAACCTCTGGTAAAGCATAATTTTTATTACATAAAAAAAAAAATCGATAAATCAATTATTACTATATATTTGTAAAAATAAATTAATGTTGACAAAGATTTTTGAAAAATGGAATTGTTGTTTGTACTTATCAGTACTCCCAAACTTGTATGCGTGTACATGGGTCGTCAGATATATTGATGGACTCTATTCCGAACGGTAAATTTTCAGAGTTACTATGTTGCTAATTCGAACTTTTTAATAACATTTACAAATGTTCTGAAGCTTTCTGTTCGGTTTTTACAGAGTTTATTAAGGGCTCAGATTATCCAGGTTCGGATTTGGGAAAGTTGACTGTATATTAAATTTCCGATATTTTTATAGTAACTTCGTTATGTATTTATTTTACTTGTGTGTATGAAGAGCGATCTTTATTATTTTTAAGACTATTTTTAGAACTATTCAACTATCTGATTATCATTTTACATAGAATCTCTTCAATCCTTATATAGTACTATTGGTATTTTTATAATTATATATTTATCTAATGATTACTATATCATTGTTATATATGATCAAGAACAAATCTTATAGAAGGAGAAAAGAAGTTATTAATACATAATATGAACAAAAATTATATAAAATACTAAACAAGCATAGCAAAAGACAAACAAAAAAAAATCAGATATAGAAATTTTGATAAAATAATAAAAAAAGCATGTGGATGTAGTTAAAAAAGTAAATAAGTATATAATAAAAATCATATTATATTTCAAACAATTGAAGTTAGTAATAATAGAAATTTATATACCATTAATAGAAGATAGTAAAAACTGTTTTCAAAAAAAAAGAAATAAATACAAATAGTTATTATAAGAGGTTTTAATTATATAACAGACAATATGCTTAATAGATAACATTTACAAACAGCAAATTACAAGAGGTTATTATTGTTCAAATAGCTAAAAAAAATAGAACTTTAAAAATATACAAAGATATGCATCTAATAGACTAAAAGTATACTTAATTAAATAAAAAGATAGTAATTTTTTTTTTTTTTTTTTTTTTTTTGGCTTAAGCAATTACGTTAGTACTTTATTAAGATTCTTGAAACTAAATACATATATAATTACATAGAATTTCCCAATATCTAAGTCTAGCATCACTCGGTTACCCTAATGGTACCTAAGTGCAACCTGCTGCACTATCTCAGTTAGAGATAGACTGCTCATCTAACTACTTAAAGCCATACCAGAAGGGTCTTCCCCCTTCCATGACAAGCATATTAATTGTCTTCCAAGCTTCTTTTTTCCTTCGACTTGTTTTTTCTATTTCTTCCTTCTTCTTTTCCTCCTTTTCTTTCCCTTTTTTTTTTGTTCTTTTTTTTTTCTTTTTGCTATATTCTCTCCCATCCGAATACCTTTTTTCATTTTACTTGTTATATTAACTTCTTTTTTCCACTTTTGTATTTTTTCACATCGGACTCACCATATTTGGTCATAAAAGGTATTCCATACTGTTCTTGTTACTATATCAAGACACTTCTTTGCTACTTGTTTATTTAGTAACTTATCGAGTTTTTCCTTTACTTCTATTGTTGTTAATCCTTTTATTAGCACCTTTCTGTTTAGAACTTTTTCTGCTTCTGTTTCACCAAACAGTGCTTTGTATAATATTTGTGCTGAAATTCTGGTTTTTTCCTCTTCTTTAAGCCTATTCCATGCTGTTGCTGTTGAAACTTTTTGTATTCGTTTCCACATACTTTTTTGTTCATTACAGCTTGCCAGGTGCTTTTGAGTTTCATCTTCGCCATTTTGACAGACTTGGCAATTTGTTGTTGTATATACCTCTGGTTTTCTTTTGTTTAATTCTACTAGCGTTGGTAGACTGTTCATTATACACTTGATTGCTGTGGCTCTTCTTGTACTTAGTTTCTTTGAGGTACAATGTACTCCTTT